GCGGACTCTGGCCCGATCGATTCTTCTTCCTCGAGCCGTGCTGCAGGTGGCTCAGACAACACATCTTCCTCCTCCGCCATCGCCTCGGGCTCTGCTTCCACATGCCCCACACTCAACGCTTGGGCAGCGCGCTGCTGGCGCGCAGCTCTTGCTGGCTCCAGGCGCTGTGCTGTTCCTGCGCACACGTCACAAAGCGGCTGGCCGGCAGCAAAGCATGTCGCGGCGCGGGGATCTAGCAACTTGCCGAGCGCCCAGCTGCGGCACGCACTGCCTTCGACAAACTTTTCCATGCCTGGTGCTGGCCCACGTCTCACTGGTAGCCACAGCTCGGCAGTTCCACCCTGTTTATCGCGACCAGCCCGACCAAATGCCTAGCCCAAGCACATGTACACCATCAGCAAAACCAACAATTGATTTTTTTTTTTTTTTTTTTCAAATCCATAAAGTCACACGACCGTTTGAGCAACAACGTACCTGGGCCAGCGTATAGACGTTGTAGCCGTTGCCATACCACAGCACGTGGCGAATGGTGAGCAGATCCACACCCGTGCTGAGGCAGCTGGTGGCCACAATGACGTCGCATTCACCCCGTTGCCACTGTGCCACATGGTCCTTTTGCACCTTCTCCTCCAGGTCGGTGTAGTAGGGCAAGGCCATGTAGCCGCGTGCGTGCAGCTGGTCGCACAGCAGTTTCACCTCGTTCACGGTGTCACAAAAGACCATCATGTGCACACGCTCCCCATTCGCCTGACGCATCATCCGCTGCGTGTCCACAATGGCTTGCACATGCGACAAAAAATCAAGCTGGTTTCCGTGAAGCACACGCAGCTGCAGATCGCGACGCATCGTCTCTAGACGGTACACCTTGCCCCCGACTTGCTGACCCAGCTTTCGAAACAGATGCTCCTGGTCCCCGATGCAAAGTGTGCCCGTCAACGCCACGCGTTTGATGTTGGTCCATCCGCCAGAACCCACACTGGCTGCGACTTCGTTCAGCACATCTCGGTAGCTGGCATCCGAGATGAGTGTGTGCGCCTCGTCCATCACCACGGTGCGGATGCGCTGAAAGCAGACCTTCCCGTGTAGGGACTCAGATCCCACGCGGACAAACATGTCGGTCGTAACAATGAGCACGTCCAGGCCATCTGCCACCTGTGTAGAGGGACCAAGCCATCGCTGGGCACTGTGACCCGCGCCTTGAAATCGCCGCAGCAAATCGTTGGCCACGGCCACAAACGGCACAATCCACAGCACCGTACAAGCATGCGGGCGACAGCCCAGCTTGGGCAGGGTACAAAATGTTTTACCCATGCCTGTCGGTGCAACAACAATCAGCCATCCATCTTCCGCCCGGTGCTGGTCAATGGCCGCAGCCAGGTCCAACTGTTCTTGGCTGTTGAAACTGTGGCCCCACGAGATGCTCGCCTGCTTGGCCAGCTGGGTCATGTAGGGTACGTCATGCTCTGCCCTCGTGTTCATGATGATACGCCCGTTTGCCTCGGGCGAGAGGTCAGTCACCG